TTCATTCAAGGGTACCTCCCATTTTGGCTTTTAATAGGTTCAGTGTGGCTGGATTTATGTTGAGGTCTTTGATCCATTTGGACGTAAGTTTTGGGTGTCGTGATGGATATGGATCTAACTGCGGTCTTCTACATGCCAGCATCCAGTTATGCCAGCACCATTTGTTGAAGATGCTTTCTTTTTTCCATTGTATAGTTTTAGCTTCTTTGTCAAAAATCAGGTGTTCATAGGTGTATGGGTTAGTATCAGGGTTTTCCATGGATTCCATTGGTATACCTGTCTATTTTTATGCCAATACCAAGCTGTTTACAGGACCATGGCTCTATAACTGAGCTTGAAGTATGAGATGGAGATACCTCTGGAAATTTCTTTATTGTACAGGGTTGTTTTGGCTATCCTGGGTGTTTTGTTTTCCATATAAAGTTGATAATGTTTCTTTCACGATCTGTGAAGAATTTTGCTGGTATTTTGATTGGGATTGCACTGAATCTATAGATTGCTTTTGGCAAGATTTCCATTTTTACTATGTTGATCCTACCTACCCAAGACATGGGAGATCTTTCCATTTTCTAGTATCTTCTTTAATTTCTTTCTTTAAAGACTCAAAGTTCTTGCTATACAGGTCTTTTATTTGTTTGGTTAGTTTTACCCAAGATATTTTCTGTTGTTTGCAGGTATTGTAAATGGTAATGTTTCTCTGATTTCTTTTTCAGCCCATTTATCGTATGTATATAGTAGGACTACTGATTTTTTTAGTTTATCTTGTATTCTACTACTTTGCTGAGGGTGTTTAACAGCTGTAGGAGTTCCCTGGTAGAGTTTTTTGGATCACTTATGTAAACAATCATGTCATCTGCAAATAATGAAAGTTTGACTTCTTCCTTTCCAATTTGTATCCCCTTGATCTCCTTTTGTTGTCTTATTGTTCTAGCTAGAACTTCAAGTACAATATTGAAGATTTATGGAGAACAGAGGACAGCCTTGTCTTGTTCCTGATTTTAGAGGAATCACATTGAGTTTCTCTCCGTTTAGTTTGATGTTGGCTGTTGGTTAACTGTATATTGCTTTTGTTATGGTCAGGTATGTTCATATTATCCCTGGTCTTTCCAGGACCTTTAGCATGAAAGGGTGTTGATCTTGTCAAAGGCTTTTTCAGCATCTAGTGAGATAATCATGTGTTTTTTCTTTTGCATTTGAGATTGTTGTATTTTGAACCATCCCGGCATCCCTGGGATAAAGACTACTTGATCATGGTAGATGATTTCTCTGAAATATTCCTGGATTCAATTTTGAGTATTTTATTGAGTATTTTTGCATCAATATTCATGATGGATATTGGACTATAGTTCTCTTTCTTATCTGTGTTTTTATGTTGCTTGGGTACCAAGGTAATTGTAGCCTTGTAAAATGTTTGACAATGACCCTTCTGTTTCTATTGCATGGAAAATTTGAGAACAGGTATTAACTCTTCCTTGAATTTCTGGTAGAATTCTGTACTGAAACCATCTGGCCCTGGGCTTTTTTGGTTGGGAGACTTTTGATGACTATATCTATTTATTTAGGGGTTATTGTTCTATTTAAATTATTTATCTGTTCTTGGTTTAATTTTGGAAAGTGTTATCTATCCAGGAAATTGTCCATTTCCTGTAAATTTTTTTAATTTTGTGGAGTACAGGTTTTCAAAGTATGACCTGATGTTTCTCTGGATTTCCTCAGTGTCCATTGTTATGTTCCCCTTTTCAATTCTGATTTTGTTAATTAGCATTCTCTGTCTCTGCCTCTTGTTTAGTTTGGCTAGATGTTTGTCTATCTTGTTGACTTTCTTGAAGAACCAACTCTTTGTGTCATTGTGTGTTTGTAGTGTTTTCCTGCTTTCTACTTTATTGATTTCAGCCCTCAGTTTGATTATTTCCTGGCATCTACTCCTCCAGGGTGAGTTTGCTTCTTTTTGTTCTAGAGCTTTCAGTTGTGCTGTTGATTCTGTAGTGTGACTGTTCTCCAGTTTCTTCATGTGGACATTTAGTACTATGAACTTTCCTCTTAGTTCTGTTTTCTAAGTATCCCAAAAGTCTGGATATGTTGTGTCGTCATTCTCATTGAATTCTAGGCAGTCTTTAATTTATTTTTTATTTTTTCCTTGACCCAGGAATGGTGTAATTGTGCATTGTTCAATTTCCATGAGTTTGTAGGGTTTCTGAAATTTGTGTTGTTGTTGAATTCTAACTTTCAACCATGGTGATCTAATAGGATATAGGGGGTTATTCCAAATTTTTTGTGTCTGTTAAGGTTTGCTGTGTTGCTGAGTATGTGGTCAATTTTAGAGAAGGTTCCATGTGGTGCTTAGAAGAAGGTATATTCTTTTCTGTTTGGATGGAATGTTCTATAGATGTCTGTTAAACCCAATTGGGTCTTAAATTCTGTTAGTTCCTTTGTTTCTTTGTTTAGTTTCTGTCTGGTGGTCCTGTCTATTGGTGAGAGTGGGGTGTTGAAATCTCCACTATAGATGTGTGGTGTTTATTGTGTGATTTGAGTTTTAGTAATATTTCCTTTATGGATGTGGGTGCCTTTGTATTTGATGCATAAATGTTCAGAATTGAGACTTCATCTTGATGGATTTTTCTGTGATGAATATGAAATGACTTTCTTCATCCCTTTTGATTGTTATTAGTTTGAAGTCTAATTTGTTAGATATTAGGATGGCTACACCAGCTTTTTTCTTAGGGCCATTTGATTGGAAAAATCTTTCCCAACCCTTGACTCTGAGGTAATGTCTGTTTTTGAATGTGAAGTGTGTTTCTTGTATGCAGCAGAAGGATGGATTCTGTCTTCATATCCATTCTGTTAGTCTGTGTCTTTTTCTACGTGATATAAGACCATTGATATTGAGGGATATTAATGACCATTGATTATTATTTCTTGCTTGTTTTGGATTTGTTTTTGGTTGTGGTATTGTGTGTGAGTATTTTTCCTCTATTTCTGGGTTTTGGTAAAGTTAGATCATCTATTGCCTATGTTTTTCTTAATGTAGGTGCCTTCCTTGTGTTGGAGTTTTCCCTCCAGAACTTTCTGTAGGGCTGGATTTGTGGATATGTTTTGTGTAAATATGGTTTTGTTGTGTAATGTCTTATGTTCTCCATCTATTATGATTGAGAGTTTTTCTGGGTATAGTAGTCTGGGCTGGCATCCTTGCTCTCTTAGTGCTTGTAGGACCTCATGACTTTCACGGTTTCCATGAAGAAGTCAGATGTAATTCTGAAGGTTTGCCTTTATATGTTACTTGGCCTTTTTCCTTAGCTGTTCTTAATATTCTTTCTTTATTCTGTATGTTTGGGCTTTGATTATTATGTGGCAAGGGGACTTTTTGTTGTTGCTGGTTTGTTTGTTTGTTGTTAACATGTCACATGCTAGCGTCATTTGAGAATAGAGACTCCTGGTTGAGCAAATACCTCTATAAGGTTTGCCTTTAAGTATGGTGGTATATTGTTTATGAGCTAATAAAACCACTGAAAATCAGAATGCAAAGCTAGCTATACTAGACAGCAATAGAATCTAGTCAAAACTCTTTCTTTCCCAAGTTGCTTTTGGCAATGGTGTCTTATCCTAGCAATAATAGCCCTAACTAAGAGAGTGTTTGTGGTCAGCCTTTTCTTTGAGAGTCAGCTTTAGTTCTATGATAAAAGTTTGACATTTGAAACTTATGTCATTAAGTGAAATAATGTATATTTCACATAGGTATTTTAAATCTCTCTTCTGTAACTTGTGATATACAATAGAAGAATACTCACTTTATTCTATTCTCATGATACCTGAGATGTCCCCTTTCAACCATTTGTGGTCATTGGTGTCTATGCATTGACTGCATGTTTCCCTGAGATACTCCAGCGATTCTCTGGAAACAGTGTCAGGGACTACTCACAAGTCACTTGGCTAATGAAGCATCTGGTACAAACTTAGAAATTACAAACTTTCATCACTACTAAAGCAAATCTGGGTTAGTTTCATGATTAGATTTGGGACTGTCTGTTTAGTGTCTTCTGTGTAATTGGATAAACTAGATTTGGTCCTTAGGTTTTACGTACCTCATATCTTTTAGCCTTCATCTAAGATGTCGGAAATTCCTTATGCCTCAGTTTGTGAGCTACCTAGTACCTTTTGTACTATTATTACAGATCCAACACTGTTTTAAGGAGTATTTTTGTCCCCTTCATTGACTCATCAAGTGTCAGGAATATTTGCTTTTGTCTTTAGTGTACAGTGTAGGCCATTTGCTACCCATGCTATAGCTGTTAGTATGGATACATCTGACATATCCCTAGTCCATCTTCAGTTCTCTCCTGTCATTTGCCATTGCCTGTGCTGGGCTTCCCTGGAACACTTGTGCTCCTTGACAGCAGTGCCTCTTCTTTTTCTGTAAGAAATGTTTGGCAATGCTTAAATACAGTTTTCACTGTCAAAGTGGAAAGAATTCTTCTAGTGTCTGAATAGAATAAGTTTACAGAAGCATTTGGAATCCTATAATAGTCAGTAGTTCCATCCCAAGTAAAAAAGAATCTTATCTGACCCCAAAAGGCAATAGCATCAAGATAAGAGAAACTTCCTGTTTAGAAACTAGCTTCATATTTAAATTTTGAATTTTCAAATTTCTCTCACACATGATGTCCAACTTAATATTTGACTTGGTCCAGGCTAACTTCTTAGTGATGAAAAAAAGATGTTATCTAAGACATCTCTGACTCATGTGAAACATGTTTTCCTTGTTGTTTAATAGGCAGTTTGATATTATCATAGTCACATAGACTAGAGGGAGAGGAAACTGAAGCATGTATTCAGATAAAGGATAAAGCTGAAGAGATTAGTATCATTTCCCTTAAGTACTCTTTCCTCTAAAGGACATTTCTTGTTTTGAAAGTTGCAATTTCAGAAATGTTGCAAGAAACCTCCATAGGAAGCTTCATGCCGACCCTGTTTCTTGGTTTTCTCCTTTATTTTTTCTCCTTTAGATATTTCACATTTTCAAGAACAAAATGATTTAAAAGGATTGTTGGACAATCTCCATCAAAATATTCAAGCCAAAAAAAGAAAGAATGTAGAAATCATGTGGCTGGCAGCAACGGTAAGCACAAATGTCCATCTTTGCCCTTGTACACCATGACCAACAAGCATTGTCAGAAACATGTGATGTAGAGTCTAAGCCTAGGTTTCATCTTGCATTATCCAGTTAACAAGGCATCATTGCCTTGTGGATAATCTCATCAATAGAGATGGAGAAAGATTCCACTTGTGTGGTTGCCAGATCCCTGACTTAAGACCCATGGACATACTGTTCAGTTAATGAGCTTGTAAATGTATTTGTTAATTTGGGCATTGGCATAGAATTTCTTACTGATGATTGCATGGTGTAAGGAGCTGAACTGTGCATGGTTCTCTCTTTCACTTAATGGCACCCTCAGAGTGGAAGCTATGCCTGTTTTCCTGCCTAGACTGCCACAAGAATTAGGGAAAGAATCATGCCTGTGTTTTTAGGCTCTTCCTTGGCAACTTGAAACAGAGCTCATATTAAATTTATGAATTATGTTAAAATTTTAGATCCCAGGAACTTTCTTTGGGAAAGCATCCTTTCATAAGGAAAGGCACCCTAGAGATCTCTGTGATGAGTACATGTTTGCAGCCTTGGCTATGTCACTCCTACAATTCAGAGGTCAGGCGCCTTAACCCTGCAGTACACATTATTTATGCTCCATCAACAGCTTTTAAATCAGCCTTCCTACTATTACCAATGTTACTTAGTCACTTCTGGAAAACAAGGAAGGGATAATTTATCATGAAACCACAGAAAATAATCAACCAAGAAGACAGAGAAAAGTTCCTCCATGCCTCTTGGATCTGTTTGGGAAGAATCTCAAAGGCCACAAATCCAGGAAACACTGCTTACAAGCAGACCACTTATGCTGTTCACACTCAGCACCACACCAGTTACAGTTTTGTGTATCTTCAGATATCACCATGGTTACTAATTCACTAAAATTTCACTATCGTAAGCTCTACCTTATTTTGTGTTTTTGCTGAAAACAGCATCCAGGAAGTCCAATCATTTGCAAGGGCATCTAATATCTGGAGACCATATGAGCATGTCATTGTATAACTGAGGTAAAATCATCTAAAAAGATAAAGCAATGATAGATTTATGAAAATATGAATGTATATCTTCTCTTGGCACATTCTTTTTCTCATTTCCCATCAATCCTTCTTATTTCTAAAACAGTTTTCTGGTATGTATACCAATCACACAAGGTTCTTATACGACTCACAGTTGATTATGCATTCCCTAGCATTACAGTAAGTTGAAAGCTCCATTTCAATATCAGTTTTCTAACCAGAACAACTTAAGAATACCCTTAAAATGAAGAAACACAGGAATCCTCCATGACATTACCAAAGGCTTTATTTCTATTTCCCCCTTTCCTGTCTATATACTGTCTAATGAAATACTGCTTTTTTCAATGTCTCACAGTCTAATTAAAACACACAGTTTTTTTAATGTTTTTTTCTTGATTTAATTTAAATAATAAAAAGGAAAACTTTAAGAATCCAAATGCTATCTGAGTATGTACAAGCAAGCTTGCATCATTCACAAGCTGTAGAGAGACTGAAATCAAGAATTCTCTTGCAGACTGTGGCGAACAGCCCGCCTCTACTTGACTATAAATGCAGAACGCTAACTATCTCAAGCAGGAAGGGCACATGTGACTGTAGTAATATATTTTAAGGAATATTAATTCTTTTAAAATTATATCTCAAAAGTAACCATTAAGGTCTATTTTATGACTGTGAATAGTCAGCTTTTGAAAATGTGAAATACTATTTATTTGGGAGAATTCAAATTTTCTAAGTAAAAAGAGATTATATGGTAAAATCATACCCTCAGTTTTCTGTATCTACTTTTATTGGAAATAGAAATGAGTAAAAATCTGAATTAATAGGGACATATAAATCTTAATTTAAGTACCAAAATTACAATTAAAATACAGTGAAAAAAAAACTCTCAATAAAAACTGCTTTATGTTTCTTCTCTAAGCAGTCACTTTTAAGGCCTTGTTGATTCCAGATAATAAAGTAGATGGTTATTGTGTCACATTAATTTATCTTAATGCACATTGATTAGCATTGCTGCTGCTGCAGTTAATTATTGGTTTCTCATCCCAGAAACCACCATGGGCTAAAATAAAAGGGAGCAGAGGGGTCTACATGTTCAGAAGAAGACAATGATGAAAATGTGTATTCCTGAGTTAGTGACAGTTGTCTGTCTTATAGTAACAAGAGTCACAGAAGAACACCAGACATATAGAAGTTAAACCCTTGGTGTTTGGACTTAGGCAGACCAGTATTTGCAGTCTGTTCCTGCTCTGCTGTATACAGGTTACACAGTTTACATAAAGTCATAATTTTCCCTACTGTAAAGTGAGGATAGTCATGGCATCCACTAGGGTTTATGCTCCTTTCATCAGAAGAACATATCTGTCAGTCATCTAGAACCATGTGCTGTGTGACAATCAATGTAAAGTAAGGTAGCCAATTTAGTGCTCCCAGTATTGCACATGGTTCCCTTATGAATGCAGGTATTTGAAACAAAAATTCAAGCCCAGAAGAGTTTTTTTTAATTTTCAGTAGGTGATTTTAATACTTTTTATTATTTGAGAATTTCATACCTGCATATAATATGTTTTTATCAAGTCTACCCCTAATCATTTCCCTCATCTCTACCCACACCACCACTTTTCCCTCTCAATGTCATGTGCTCCTTTTTGAACCCACTGCATTCACTTAGTGCTGTCTATATGGGAATGTGTGCAGAACCATCTACAGAGCATAAGTAGCCTCTCATAAATAGAAATTATGATGAAAACTGACTCTCCCTTCCCCAGAAGTCATCAATTTCCAATTCTTCATTTAGGGGTGGGACTTCATGAGACCTTCTCATATCAATAATATGATTTTTGGCTGGTTGATCTTAAAACAGATATACTTTAGGTACACATTCAAGTGCCTAGCCTACGAGCAATATGTTTTGCTTCATTTTCAGCCAAGCTGATGCTCCTGAGTGGCATTTATGTAAATCAGGACCCTGCATGCCTCCTCTGTGGGGTCTATGACATCTCATTTAGTGGTGTTGATAGCCCCATACCTCCCACTCAAATCAATAAACAAGTTAAAGACAGCCTTCTAACTTAGAAAAGGAAAAGGCAATGTGTTTAATTTTTTAGGGTAGACAGAAGCACTTGATTCCTTGTTTTCATTTGTGTCTTGCAGATTTGTCGAAAACTCAATGGTATTCGTTTTACCTGTTGTAAAAGTGCCAAAGATAGGACATCGATGTCAGTGACTCTGGAACAGTGCTCCATCCTGAGAGACGAGCATCAACTGCACAAAGACTTTTTCATCCGAGCCTTGGACTGTATGAGAAGGTATTGCATGTGCCTTAAATTCTTTTTATGTTAAGGTCACACTTTTAACATTTTAAAATACATACCTCATTAGAAGACCAAACACTTAATAATTTCTTTGTATTTCCACATTTGGGGCAATAAAAGCAAATACAGTCATGCATACATTCAGTAAAATACATGGAAAACTTTGTTAATTTTTCATCTTGAGTTAAATGGCTCTGTATAACTAATGTATCCCTTAAATACTACATTTTCTTGGCATGTTTTGGTATGTACAAAATAACACTAGGTCAATAGACAAACAAAATCTCTCCAGACTCCCCATGGTTGGCATGGTCTTTGCATTGGTGACATTACCCATCAGAAAGGCAGAGTTGCTCTGATACTTCAGGGATCTGATATTACAACTCTACCAACATTTAAAATATTATACCCCAACTCATATCTTGATTAACACCCACAGTAATTAAATCAGAACTTAAAAGGAAGCCATAATGGAAAGAAAAGGTGTCTCCTTCAAAACATCTATCAGCAAGGACATGTGTGGATATAAAGGTGACAGAGATCATCTTAGAAGAGGTTTCTGGGCTCCACTGAGGGCTGTTTCCTGCTACTTCCTGTCTGTCTTACCATTAGCTGTACTGTCTTTTTGGGTCTGAATCCCCAGGGGAGACACAGATGCATGCCTGCATTGTTGCAATTGCTGTGTTTTCCACTGACAAGAGGCTTCTGACGTCTCCATCTTCTGTTTTACATCTTTCATGTCTTCTGGCATTTTCATTGTTCAGTAGAGATCTGTCATCAGTTTTGACACCCATTTGAGGAAGGTTTAGAAGCCTGGCATGAACATCTCAGCCATATAAAATATGTTTTATTGCCATAAACTTCTTTCAAAAATAAGCTTTCAGTACTAATGGGGGAAATATGAATGCAAAGATGACATCTAATTTCAGAAATGGAACACAGATGTCACTGTGGGTGCCTAGGTACTGGAATAGCACAGTAAATAGGCTAGGGCCACCAAAGAAATAACATGACTTAACTACCAGGTGGTGGACCTCTAAATTAGAAAGGAAATTCTTCAAGCAGGTAAAGGAGAGGCATGTTTTCCTATGCGTGCTGAACCATGAGGATGCATATTTTTGTATTACATAGATTTGTGCATAATTGCTAGTACATGTGAAACTTTTTTGCTTATGATGTGACCTTTATAGGACTTTGTGATTGAGAAGTACTTTTCTCTCTCTTTCTCTTTTAAATCAAGCTGCAAGAGATTTAACCTAAACTCAATCATGTTTTTAAATTTCGTGTCTCTATTTCTCTGTTAATATTTTACTCTTTAAATTCTTTTATGCTAACTTTCAAACCAGTCAAATTTATCCCTTAGTTTGTGTGTTTATAAAGTAGTTATTTTAGAGTATGAGAGTTTCCTTGGAAATGAGTGTAGGTGTGCACATGATTCAAAAAAAGGCATATTGATTTAAAAATCATATAACTGCTTGTATTTCCCTCTTTAAGAATTTGGCTTTGTAAGACAAACTCATAAGAGCATACACTCTATCAGCACTGTACAGGAGGTCAGAGGACAGCATTCGAGGTGTGTGTGTGTGTGTGTGTGTGTGTGTGTGTGTGTGTGTGTGTAATTTGCACACTTTGGATGATTACATAGAAACATGAGCTTTGATCTCACATAGTCATCTTGAGATTTTCTCCTAAGAAACAACAGACCTGATGTCGAGAGTGTTTGGCATTGAGCAATTAAAGGTCTCCAATCACATCATTTGCACAGGTGTCACCAGAAATTATTTTAGTATATATTTAACTACTTCAAGTTCATTAGTTAAAATAGAAATTACGCCAAAAGTCATGTTCTTTTAGAACTTCCAGGTTATGTATAAAACTAGAGTGCTTTGTCTCCATTGGCCCATAGAGAGTAAAATATAATGGTGTAATTTATACTCTTTCATTTCAACATGCTCCGTCATATTCACCAATGTATGCAGACACTGAGTGCAGTCTCTCATCCAGATCAAAATAACTATAACAGTACAGGGGTCAGAAGGTAGCAGAACACCAAGAACCTTGCAGAGGACACCAGTTCTTCCCACACAGACAGCAGTTTCTCAGGAATAAGAATGTCTCAACTTGTTGGTGGATTGTAATTGATTACCAGAACCTTGAAATGGTAATTTTAACCACTGAATAGTCCAGCTTTTCCTTTATGGTGATAGAGCCGTTTTCCAAGGACTTCACTACATGACCTGTGAAGTCCCTCCCTCCAGACATTGACCTTGAATGATTATCAGACACCTTCAGGAAGTTATACAGTTAGTTGTGTTTAGGTGAAAAATCTTAGGTATGTAAAGAGAGCAAAATTATTTAAGAACTTGACCTACATTCTAGGATACAACATTGGATTTAATACTACTTTAAAGTTTTATTTAACTTATGTGTGTGTTGTATGTATATATTGTCGGTGTGTGTTGTGTGTATATGTGTGTGTGTGTTGAGTCTGTGTGTGTGTTCTGTGCAGTGTGTATGTTGTGGGTATATGTGAATATGCACACTCGTGAGCACTCTTGTCTTGGTGTGATTTTGAGGTCAGAGGAAACTTACTGGAGCAGAATCTCTCCATCTACCTTGTGTGTGCCAGAGATCAACTCAGGTCTTAAGCTTAGCAGGAGCACCTTTACCCATTGAGCCACCCAGTGTTTTAAATTTTGTTGTTTGTGTTGTTTTTTACTTACTACACATGTAATTTTAACTTATCAACAGTTGCATCTTATTTATCTTTGGATCATTCCAACCACTTTTAAGGCTTTTTTTCAAAAGTTTGTCAAAGTTATCACAAGTTATTCTCTTATGATGCCAGTAGTAGCAGTGACCTACAGCTCCCAGTTAATCACAGATCTCTCAGGGGGATGGATGCAATGCCACGTGGTGCTGTGTCACTAAGATATGATGCCCATCAGGCCAGGTTCATTAAGTACACATACAGCTTATTGCATTGTCAGATCATAGTGGAATTCCTGGGACTTGATTCTGTCACAAGCTGAGGTCTGTCTGCATTACTTTCAGTGGCATGTTCATGACATAATGGCATGTTTGATAGAAATGGTGGATTTCAGACCACTTCTTCATCTGGGAATGGTAGCAAGAAATCAGGTGCCTCCTACTCAGTTCGAATCTCTTCGTGGTGACTGTGGTGACAGGACAATGATTAGCATCAATCACTCCCAACTCCTGTCAGAAGATACATTGTTATGATAAATCATTCCTCCAAAAACAAATGAGCCCCCCTGCCATGTGTGTGCTTTACACCAGCCAGCCACAATACCTGATATTTACCATAGGGGGATATGATTTATGAAATGTTATGCTTTGTTAAGTGAGCCCTGAACCACTGAAGTATACAAAATGGTATTTAGGATGCCTTGCTTGTTCATAAGACACTTCTGAAGAGGAATATTAATTATTTGCATAGGTACAGTCCCTCTTTGTTTTTTTTCTACATCAGTTTATTTTTCTTCACTTTTGTTGATCAGATAATTTTATGGATTGCTGGAATCTATTTCAGGATTAAGGAGATTTGTAAGCACTGAAGCTGAGTATCTGAAGCTGGCAGGTAATTGCAGATGGTCTTAAAGGCTATGTCAGTATAGAACATGATAGGCAGGGATACATTTTCTATTAGTGCTTTCACCTTCATCAAAAACTTCAGTGATGGATTTTTGTATTATCTCTGACCACATCTGTGAGCATTAACAGAAATAACCTAAGAGGTATCATTCAGTGATGTGTAGGAACATTTATTTGGGTTATGCTTTCAGAAGCTCCAGGTACCATCACTTAGCTTCCTTGCTTTGGTCTTGCTTAGGTTATACTTCATGACTAGAGTGTGTGGTGGTTGTGGATGCTCAATGAACAGTGACTCAGAAGAAACTAGAGAGATAGGAAGGAGCCAAACTCATTATTGTTTTCAAAGACAGGCACAAAATAATCTAACCTACTTCTAACCTAGGTCCCACTTCCTGGTAGCACCACAGATTGGCAACATACCTTTAATAAAAAGACCCATGGGGGGCATTGCAGATCAAACTTAGGGCATCCTATTCTGACTGTTGGAGATCCATATTTATCTCATGATGCAAACATTTACATCATCTCCAGAGCTCCCACAGAATAGGTCCAATTTTTCTTTCATGATGTTTTATTAAGGAGGATTTGTGGATAACTACAGGGTAAGATGAGTCCAGCTGAAAGCAATATATATTGCTTTCATTTTTAAAATATGAAGGTTCAGTGGTATGGGACAAGAGGCTCTCTTGGGTTTAGATAGAGAAAAACAGGGTGTTTTGACAGGAATTTTTGGCAGGCTAGGTATTTTTATAAGCCTGTTAGGTGGGAAGAGCAGATTGTATTTTGCAGGAGGAAAGGGAAGTCCCAGCAGAGATACAAAGGAAATTTCAGCAGCCTTAGGAAAATGACCAATGGTTTTGCACTTGGGAAATGAGGTGTGACAGAAATGTATACAGAAAGAAGCATTCACTAAAGTAGCAAAAATACAGGTAACTTTGGAGGGAAGGATCTTTAGTAAGGTTCTTATGGCCACCCCTAGGAAGTTCATGCATATTCAAGAAGATTGAGACAGGAGAGTGAAAGAAGTGATTCCCAGATGCTGCTTAGCCACCTAACCTAAAGATGGCTTCTTATTTGTTCATTTGTTTGTTTTTCAAGGAAGGCTCTCTTACTCCAGGATGGCCTAAAATCCATTGTATTCAAGGATAACTTTAAAATTCTGATCCTCCTGCCTCTACTTCCCAAATGCTGAGGTTACAGGTGTGCACCACTATATCTTCTGTTTGTAGTACTCGGGACCAATCCAGAGCTTCCTGCATAGCACACAAGTACTCTACCAGCCGAACCACAACCTTAGGATTTCTTAATGAGCTGTCTTCCTATAAGCAGTCCTTGAGACTTTTCCTGGATGTTGATTTCACAAATGTACATACTTGGTG